AGGCCACCTTGGGCCTTCTTCGGCTTTCCTGGGTCGTCGCGGAGCCTTGTTGAGACACCTCCCGACGCTCTTGGGCCGTCTTGCGCCACCTTGGGCCGTCTTGGGCTCCGCGGGCAGTCATCTCGCGATTGTCATGGGCCGTCTTGGGACACTCTTGCAACCCTCTGCGGTCGCTACTCAACACATCTTGGAAACCCGATGCTTTTAGGGAGCCTCTGATCCGTCTATGGGGGTCTTCGGGGATCGTCGAGTCCTGGCGTTGGGTCTGGAGGCCGTCTGAAGGGGCGCCTTTGGGAGGTATCATGCGCACCGCAGAAAGCCAGCACCGACGCTGCGAGCATCGTGACCCTGCAGCTAGCCACAGAAGAGAGGGAGGCAAGGGGGGGAAGAGGGCGGAGGGAAGGATAGAAGGGTTGAGGAAGGGACAGAGGGATGGGAGATGGAGGGAGGTGTAGACGGGAGGGAAAAGGGACTGGAAGAGGAGGGAAGGTGAGGCGGGAAGGTGGAAAACCATGGCAGGGGGACAAGAAGGAAGGGGAAAGACGGGGAAGCTGCTGCAGGCGGCGTGCTGGGGGCGGCCAAGCAAAACAACGGACGGTGCCGTGCGCGAGCATCGCTGCTGCAGGCGGCGTGCTGGGGGCGGCCATGCACACACAAAAATGGATGGTGCCGTGCGCGAGCATCTGTCGAAACTTGACCGCAGTGACGCCCGCTGGCGACCCTGCGAGTGCTCGGGGCACCAGATGAGGAGGAAGGCATACGCGGAGGGAGGCGGACGGGCAGGGAGGCGGAGGTGGGGGGGGACGTCGCTGCCATCGTCATCAAGGGCCGGACACGTCCGCTTCTCCTACGCCGTCGGAGAGCCCTCTTAGGGGCCTTTTTGGGGGCTCTCTCAGCGACCGCAGGAGATGTGGGCATGGCTTTTCCTGTAAGCGGCGACTGCTGCAAGGAGTGGGTAATACGAGCTGCTCCGAAAGCAAGAATCTAGGGCTCCCAACTTCGCGCTTCGCGCTGCGCGAAGCGCGAATAACTTCGCGCTCTCGCGCCGCCCTCCCAAAGGGAGAATAGGAGGACGAGGAGGAGGGGGAGAAGGAACGAGGACCGCGAAGCGCGAAGCGCGAATAACTTCGCGCCCTCGAGGGAGCCCTTGCTTTTGCTGTAAGCGGCGACTGCTGCAAGGAGTTGGTAAGACGAGCTGCTCCGAGATCAAGAGTGCGAACCGTGTGCCGTGCCGTGGCGTGCCGTGGCGTGCCCGCGCGTCGTGCCCGCGTTCTGAGAGGCATCGAATCCACAACAGCCGGTGTCTCTGGTTGGGCGCCCGAGTTATCCGGGTTAACTCGGGTCCGGGGTAACTCGGGTTTGGATTCCCGAAACAGGAACCCGAGTTACCCCTGACCCGAGTTACCCCTGATGATTCGGGGCTCTGGACGCCCGAGTTATCCGGGGTAACTCGGGTCCGGGATAACTCGGGTTCGGAATCCCGAAAAACGAACCCGAGTTATCCCTGACCCGAGTTACCCCTGATGATTCGGGGCTCTGATCTGGTCTAGACGACGAGCATGTGCCGCCCACGTGCCGTGCCGTGAAGTGCCCCAATTCAGAGTGCGGCACCCGTGCCAACCCCGTGGGGTTAGGGGGAAAACAAACCTGCCTCGCTTTGGACCACCCTCGCTTCCAAGAGATACCAAACGATGCCAAACTGCGGCCTGTACTGGTCAGGCCGCTTGACGAGGAGGCGCGTGGTATGACTTGGTTTTGCCTGGAAGCGAAAGCGGGGTAGGTAATTCACGCTCTGAGAGGTGCCGTGCACGTGCCCTGCCGAAATTCTGAAGCGATTCGCAACAGCTAAGGCAGGCGGGAGCTGGGTAGTGCAGACGACGAATCGAAACAGGGAGAGCCGATTCCTCCACAGGCAAATGCGAACCTATGATGCAGGCGCTGCTTAGGGGCATGGCTCATAACATTGACCTCTGCTAGGAGTCCAGTCAGACTGGCTTGGGACTCCTCGGACGCATGGTGAAGGTCGGTATTGAAATGTTCCCGAAGCTGTTGGGAACTGCCTTTCGAATACACTGGCGTGTCTTGGGGGTCTCTTGGGACATCTTCTAGGCCACTCGGGACTCCTATTCGGCGGAATTGGGGCCCTCTTTTCGCGAGCACCCCGGCCTTTCAGTTCACGGGTCTAGGAGTGTGTGGTTGAGGATGTCGTAATAATCTACAGGCCGTCCTGAAGCCTCTTGGACGCATGCTAGGGATGCTTCCTTAGGTGTTTTGGAGGTTTGGGAGCCGTTTTAGGAGCCTCCTGGGTCATCTTGGAAATCTCTCGGGGCCGTTTTCGGCCAGCTTCGGGGTCTCTGGGGCCCTTCTGCCTTTCTGGGGGCCTCTTCGAGGCGTCTTGGGGCCTCGGGCCGCCCTGCGCCCCACTTGGACCTCTTCGGCCGCCTTGCGCCCCTCCGCCCTCCAGGGGGTCCACTTGGGCCGGCTCGAGCCCCCCTCGGGGGCGACTTGGGGCTCTCTTTGGGTCCTTCTTCGGGCCCTCTTGGAATCCAGGGCGCCCTCGTCGCCGCGGCGGGATCCGCCCGCGCTCGACGAGAGAAGTCGGAAGGGGAGGGAGAGGGAGGAGGGAGGAAAGGGGCGGAGGGAGGAGGGAGGAGGAAGGAGGAGGGAGGAGGGAGGAGGGAGGAGGGAGGATGGGGGGGATGGAGGAGGGAGGAAAAATGGTGGCCACGAATGGTCTGGGGAGCTCGGAGGGGCGGATCGCGCTGAGCGCTCCAGAGGGGAAGGGTGCCTCTTGGCTCGTCGTGGACACCCTGCGGAGCACAAAAAGCAGATGTGCGAAACCCCTGCAAAAACCAATGGGAACTCGGTACTTCTTGGCCTCTGGGGAGGCTCTGGGTGATGTCCAGGACTCCCGAGCACATCAAGGGGTCTGTCTGGACCGGCCTGAGCCATCTCCTGGGTGCCGTCCGGCACTCTTTCGCGCCACACCAGAATTGCTTTGGGTGGCCGGGGGGGGAGGGTCGGGAGGCCGCGGAGGGGGGTGCTCAAAAAGGGGAAGGGAAGCTGAGAGGGCGTCCTTGTCGCGGGCCTGGGCTCCTTGTGGCCCCGCTGTCTATTATACATGAATATATATATAGTTCTACAGGGTCCGAGGGGCTCTTTTTGGGGAGGCCAGAAGGGTTCCACCTTACACACTCTCTACATACACCGAGCCTCAGGCCTCACGCACGCCCCGGGGGCCGGCCAAGGGAGGGGGGCCCGAGGGACCGCCTGCGGTCCACGAACGGCGGCGCCAAAGCACGGTCCAGGGACGGGCCAAACAGGGCGCCCGCCGAGGGGCCCCACAGCCACCTTGGGGCCGCACGCGCGGGACGGGGGCCGAGGCAGGTGTAGGCCGCTCTCTCTACTGGAAAATTTGCATAGCCAGGGTGGTCTGTGGGAGGGCCGAGAAAGCTATGCAATGCAGGTGCGGCCTCTTCCAAACCCCCCCTCTCCCCCTCGAACTAACACTAGAGAACTACATTTATAGTTCTACAGGGTCCGAGGGGCTCTTTTTGGGGAGGCCAGAAGGGTTCCACCTTACACACTCTCTACATACACCGAGCCTCAGGCCTCACGCACGCCCCGGGGGCCGGCCAAGGGAGGGGGGCCCGAGGGACCGCCTGCGGTCCACGAACGGCGGCGCCAAAGCACGGTCCAGGGACGGGCCAAACAGGGCGCCCGCCGAGGGGCCCCACAGCCACCTTGGGGCCGCACGCGCGGGACGGGGGCCGAGGCAGGTGTAGGCCGCTCTCCACGTTACTCCCCCTGGCTTAGCCGTGAAACATTCTTCCAACCCCCCCTGCACGCGACCTTCGTGAGACCAGCTTTTTGGGCACGGGGCCCCAAAAGGCCCACCACGAGGGCCTCAAGAGGCCCGCCAAGCGCCCCGCAGGGGCACGCGACCCCGGGGGAAAGGGGCCCGGGCACACAAACACAAAGAAAAGGAGGAAGAGTGAAGGAGGCGTGAGGGTTGGGAAGAGGAGGACGACAGTGACATAAAAGAAGAGAAACATTACAGCGAGGCAAGGATGCTCGCAAACGCAGTGCCACGCTCTCTGAGGGCGCGAACGATGTCATCAGACAGCAACTGTTGAGCGAGGACGGCGAGCCCGTCATTTATGTAAATGCGGGCGGTCCTGCTGTCGTTCCAGCGCCCACGGTGCACAGTCCGCGCCATGTCGCCGTGGGCTAGCAGGTCGTGGGTGGCGCCTCCTCGCCTCAGTGAGTAGGGCAGGAGCTGCAGCGAGCTGAGGCCCAGCGCGGCGCACCCGTGCTCGAACAGCCGCCGGTACGCCACGCCTGTCCCTTCAAGGAGTCGGGCGCCAGGCCCACGCCAGCTCTTGAGCGCCTCCAGCGCTCTGCCCACGATGCAATCGTCGACGGTGATGATCTCCTGAGCGCCACGCCGCGCGCCGCTCTTGGACCACGGCAGGGCAATGACACCGGTGCCCCTCGCACCGATGGCCACGTGCTCGAACGCCATGCTGAACATCTCACCAGTGCGCATGAGGCAGTGGAACGCTGCGATCGTCACGATGGCGGCGTCGCGGCGGCCCTGAACCCACATCCAGTGCCCCAGCGCGAGCAGCATCATGGAGTTGAGCGGCGGCGCGCGGCTGGGCATCTCGATGCGGCCCCACACTCGGAACAAGTCCCAGGCGCCTGGGAAGACGCGCCTGCGGCTCAAGATAAACTGGATGCCACTGAGCGTGTCGCCAGCGAGGTTCCTGCCCTCGCCCTCAAGCCAGAGGTGCTCCAGATACGCACAGAGCTGCTCGTCCAGCTGGTGAGGCTCCACTGCAAGCGGCCATCCAGCCTGTTGCTGGTGTCGTACAAACATGGCAGCTGCACGATGATAACGAATTCGGGTTCGGGGAACGACGCGTTGAAACCGCAAGGGCCCGAGCGCACGGCGCGCCTGAGCCCGACTCGCTTGGTCTGGGTACTGCGGGAGCCGCCTAGGCATCAGCCTGCTGCTTGCGGCTTGGGGCGTCGGACGGGTTGTCACCGCTCCGACAGAACCCCAAGATGGCCACACTCCTTGAGGCCATCTCCAACGCTGCCACCTTGCGAGCCACGCGATTCAACTGTATGCTTCCCGAACGATGCTTGGCCAAGACAGCAATGGAGACCTGGCTGTCCAGCAGATGCAGAAACTTGCACTCGAGGTTCTTCTCCGCGCGCAGCCGCCACCTGAGCGCTGAGAGGAAGGCCCTCATTTCCAATTCGTTGATGTGAGCCTCCTCGCGCCAGTGGAACTGCACCACCGTGCGCCAGCGCCACCAGCCAGGAGAGATAGGCTGCCGCGGCCAGCCTGAGGGATGGAAGAGCTCACCCGTCGACATGTGGACGTCGCTGCCCTTGGTGCTGGTGGACCTCATCACGTCCAGTGCCAGCGCCTGCTCGGGGGCGAACCCGCGGGTGACGAGCGACACGCTCTTCCTGGGCTTCGACCTCTCGCGCAGCTCGTCGACGGACGGCGGCGCTGCGAGGAATCCCCACTGCGTGGCCAAGTGCCCGAACAGCCAGGCCACAACCTCGACGTGGAAAGCGTTGCCGAGCAGCCCGCACCGCGCGCACTCGGCATGGCGCGGGTCACTCTTCAGCACGCTCGAGGTGACGGCCACCTGCGTGTGGCCTCTGCGGTACCCCATGAGGACCTCACGCTCCTCGGCCGACGGCGGGCGCAGCTGGCCCTCGTGCAGCACACAGTGGCGGTCGATGTACTGGTAGGGGGGCAGGCTGAAGTCGTCCGCGGCCCACCTCGCCAGCGCCGCGTCGTCGCACTGGTTGATGCCAGCTGGGCGCGGCCGGGGCTCGGACCGTCGGTCTCGCCCCACGGCCGTCGGCAGGCGTGCCGCAGGATCAGCACTCGCAGCCCACGTGGCACCAGCCGAGAGCCACCGCGAGGTGGGCCCTGGGTCCGCGTCCAGCTTCACCTGCAGCCAGGCGCCCTGGTCGATCAGCGCGACGCCGCCCACCTCGCAGAGCTCGAAGGAGCACCAATAGAGGCGAGGCCGCCGCATGTGGCACACCTGGCTGGCGCACAACCTGAGAGGCCGTACGCCCAGGAGCTCGGTGACCGCGGCGATGTCCAGCTTGTCGGCCGAGTCCACGTTCTCGAACAGGAACTCGCACTCCCAGGACTCGAACACTTCGACCACCAGGTCCAGGATGCGGATCACCTCGCTGATGAGCCCAGACCTGGGGTCCTGAAGGCCTTTCCTGGACACGTTGAGCCTGCTGAGGCCCTGGCAGGGGAAACCGCCGGTGACGATCAGCTTGCGGCCACGGGCACACCCATGCTTGATGGTGAGCAGCACCTCCTTCGAGATCTCCTTGACATCGCCGAGCTCCTTCACGTTCGGCCACGCGTTCCGTGTGACACGTGAGGCCGTCGCGTCGGTCTCAGCCGACACGAACCACAGGGTCTCCAAACCAAGGGCCCCCCAGCTCTCCCGCGCGCCGCCGATGCCGTCGAACAGGCTCAGCAGGACAACCTCCTCCTCGCTGGCCTGCCACGGGACGCGGCCGACACGCTTCAGCGCCTCTTCGCCAGCACAGGAGAGCCCCCTGCTCACGCATACAGCCCCCCCGCTCGGGCTGGCGTCGGAGCAGGAAACGACAGGCGACACGTGCAGGCGGAAGTCGGTGAAGTAGAGCGGCGCAAGCTGCATGGCCAAGAGCAGCTCGTCCATCACTGCCAACGGCACGGTCCAGCAGCGGTGCGAGCGGGACATCCACCTCCAGACCTTCTCGAAGCATGCCATGCCTGCGCGTTGGTGGGAGCAGACCCGGACCCAACGGCCCAGCACGATCTGCCAGTGCTTCTTGTTGACACCGGGGCGCCCTAGGACCCACAGGGTGAGGGAGATGAGGCTGACCACGTAGCCGCGCGGCGCCTCCTTCCTCCCCAGGTCGCCGTCGATGAAGTCGCCCAACGCCTGCACCTCGCTGGCCCTGAGCACGTCCTTGGCAGGTACGCCCGGCGTGCCGCACCGAGCATGCGCCTCACGAGCCGCCAGCAAGAGCGGGCTCACGGTGCCCTTGAGCACCTTGCCGTCTTCGCGCGTGACTACCTCTTGCGCCTCCAAGTTGTCGATGTATACTTCCCAAGCTTGCACCTCCTGAGCCAAGGCCGTCAGAGGCGCCGGGCGATCACGCCGCCACTCGGCCTCCCTCGGCAGACAGGCGGACAGCTGCCACCCCTGCCGCAAGATGTTGCGGTGGATGTGCTGAGCGATGCCAGTCGCAGAGATCCAGCCCATCGCCACCGTGGTGCTGGCCACGTACACGCGAGGCTCGCTCGGCCGCCCGACGAGGTGCCCTGGGACCGGGACCTCGAAGGCCATGAACTTCCTCCAGCATGGCGGCAACCTGAACACGTAGAAGAAGCACTGCCGATCCGTGGAGGTCCACAACATCATCTCGTGAGCGAGTAGGACGATCGTGGACCACTGCGACGAGAGGGGCAACTGGTCCATGTCGCCACCGACGACACGCTGCACGACGTTCGACGGGACGAGATTCATGATGAGCCTGAGGACGTGGCCCATGGTGCCGTCCTTCAGCGGGATGGTGCGCTCGGTCCCCTTGCGCACGCCGAAGGCCCCGCACAGCACGGCCCGCCCGTCCACGTGCAGCACATCCTCCAGGGCGATCGGCTCCACGAGGCCACGGTCCCAGAGGACGGCCACGAGGTCGTGCCAGGTCTGCAGCGGCGCCCAGATCTTGGCCCGCGGGACGCGGGCCGGCCGCACGCCCTTCGGCAGGAGCATGGCATCCGCATCGAGCAGCGCCTCCCGCACGTTCCCCTCGCAGAGGTCCACCGCCTCCACCGAGGCCGCGATGCCTTTGGGCGGGAGCGCCGGCAGCACCTGCTCCACCGACAGCGTCTCGGCCGTGCCTATTTCCTCGCCGTCGTAGGCCACGCGCTTCTCGGCCAGCTCAGCCGCCCAGTCCGTCGGCGCGAGCGGCGTGGGGCAGCTCTTCAGGAAAAGGATGGCCGCCCGCGCCAGCCTCCTCACGGCCCTCATCTGAGCGGGGCTGGCCGGGCCTGCCAGCACACACCGCTCCTCCGACGCCGCGCAATTGGCATGCAGGTGGTTCAGCGCGATGATCATCAGGTATACCCACTGCTTGGTCGCGACCAGCTGCGGCTTGTCACCCGCACCGAAAGCGACGAGCTCCTCATCACTCAGCGCAAAAAAGGGGAGAGGGAGAAGGTCACGTTGCCTCCCTTCAGCCCTAGTAGTTGGCCTCCCTCCAACCGCTGTGAGCTCTCGCGCCACCTGACCAAGACGAGTGGGCAACGTCCTGACTAAACCGAGAAGGACCTGCGGCACGTGCGTGGCGTCGCACTCCTGCACGCTCCTGGCGGCTGCAGCGACAGCACGTGCGGGCCGCAGGTCAGCAGCTGCTGCGGCCTCGCCTGCGCCCTGCCCGAGCGGGGCCGCGGCTGGCGGACCTCGCCCGAAGTCGGGCGCAGCAAGAGGGGCCAGGGCGGCGGCTACCGCCCCCGGCCGCGCCCCCGGGTCTTGCCCCCGCCCTTCGCAGGCCCTCGGCCCCGCCCGCGCAGCTTCGGCGTCGGCGACCGAAGGCGCTGGACCCAGGGCGGCAGACCCACGGTGTCCGTGTCGCCCCCCTTCAGCAGCACCTTCCTCGTGGCGCCGTTCGCCAGCAGGGCAGGAGGATCTCCAGCAGCGCTCTCCACGGCCTCGACCTCCGGTGCGAACGCGACCCGCGGGCCCGGCGCCGGCGCCGCCGGCCGCGCCCCGTTGCTGGGGCTCGGGCCGCGCCCCGGCGAGGCCGCCCGCCTCCCGGGCGACGCCCGACGCGGGGGGGCAGCTGGCGGCACGGCCTCCGCGGGCCCTCGGCCCCTGCCCCGCCCGCGGCGGCGGCGGCTGCGGCGGCCCGTGGAGGCGCCAGGGCGCGCTGGCAAGCCAGCAAGGGAGCTGGGCTCGCCCAGAGGGCTGGGCGAGCGGGCAGGACGCCTCAGGGAAGGAGCGGCTCCTCGCTCCTCGCCCCCGCGGAGTCCCTAGCCAGCGGCACCTCGCCCCTGCGCCTTGGTCCGAAGGTCCGCGAGCTTCGCCCTCATGAGAGCGTGACGCGCCGCCGCCTGGCGCTCGGTGACGCTCACCAGCCCAGGCGTCTCCTCGGTGAGCTCCAGCTGGCTCGCAACGCCCCAGTCCTTGTCGCGCACGCTCGTCTCCAACGCCTTCAGCCTCTGCATCAGGAGGTCCCCGAGCTCGGGGAGGCGCCCCTGGAGAAGGGCGTCGAGCGCCGCTGCGACCGTCCTCATCTCCTTGACGGTGTGCACGCTGATGGTGGACTGGGGATGCTGGCCGAAGAAGATGCTCGTGAGATAGGCCATCACCCGCGCCGCGTTCGCCCCCGTGGTCTGATCCGCCCCCTCCCGCTCGCCAAGGAAACGGGCCATCTCCGCAAGGCCGGCATCCAACAGGGCTCCGGGTTGTTCCCGAGCGATCTCGTGGATCCTGTTGTTGCCGGAGCTGGAGGGGGCATCGCGAAAAAGCGAGTCGCCGTCGCCGTCCTCGTCCTCGACCAGCGGATCGGCCCTGCGCTGCCTTCTCGTCGCCACAGAGAAAAGGTCCACGCGCGAGCCAGCCTTTCTCTTCAGCGCACTCTTGAGCTCCTCGATCTTGGCCACGAGCTTGCGGTCATCACCTCCGCCGCCTGCGCCAGCACCACCAGCAGCGGCAGCAGCACTCGGCGGCCCGAAGATGACCTGACGGCGCACCCACGGCTCGGAGATCCCTGACGATGTCCTCACGCGCAGCGTGTCCACGTGGTACACGAGGCGAGCACCTGCACGGGCGCTGCATGCCTCCCGCGCGCCTGAGCACAGGTGGACGAGGGGCGGCTGCGCCCACAGGTCATCCAGCACACCTGTGGCGACAGGCGATGATGCGCCTGCGAACTCGGCGAGGCCGAAGGTGCCGAGGGCGTCCGCGGCCCACTGGAGGCCCAGCTTCAGGAGGGCGGAGCCGTCGCAGCGCCCCTCGGCGTCGAAGGTGGGCACCTCGACGATCGTGCCTGGCTGCACACCGACCTGAGCGAGGGCCGCTGGCTGCAGGCCCTTGCCCAGCCAGGCCGAGTCGCCTGGGGGGGCCACCCCCGGGAGCCCAGCCGCAAGGCCTGGCGGCCGCACCGCCGCGGCAGCTGCGGGCGGCACGACGGCCACGCCCAGCCCTGGCGGCGGCCCTCCAGGCGGCGCTCCAGCCCCCGCGAGGCCGCCCAGCAGGTCCGCCCCGATGCCCCCAGCGGCTGCTCCTCCAACGCCTGGGTGGCCTCCTGGCGCTCCGCCAGCTGCACCTGCAGCGCCCTGCTGCAGACCGGCCAGCGCCGCCTGGATGCCCGCGTCGGTGAGCCGCACGTTGAGGCCGCGCGCGAGCTGTGCCAGGCCTCCAGCAGCCTCCAGCGCATCTCCTCCTCCCGCGTGCGCCGCCGCGACCACGGCCTGGTGCAGCCCGCGCCCATCGCGCCCACGCCCACGGCCGGCTGCCGCGGGCGGCGCGGCGCCACCGAGCACAGGCGCGCCAGGGGGCGGCCCAGCGGCCAGGCCTCCAGCGGCCGCGCCGCCCCACGGGGCGAACAGCGGGGCCCCTGGCGGCGGCGGGCCCGGCAGCGCAGCGAGGCCGCCCGCTCCAGCGCCGCCAGCCCCGCGACCACGCCCAGCACCGCCACCGCCTCCGCGAGCGGCACCAGGGCCAGCCCCGCGCCCGGCGCGGCCGCGGCCGCGCCCCGCGCCACCGCCAGCCCGCCCGCGGCCCCTCGCGGCCTTGGGCGGCATGCCGGCGCCTGCCCCACGCAGGGGCTCCTCTGGCCCGCCGCGGCCGCGGGCGGGCGGGCGCGGAGCGGGAACCGCTCCTCAAGCCGAGAAAGCTATGCAATGCAGGTGCGGCCTCTTCCAAACCCCCCCTCTCCCCCTCGAACTAACACTAGAGAACTACATTTATATTATTATATATATTATTATATATATATATATATATGTATATATGTATATATGCATGTGTATGATTATCTTTTTTTGTTTCTCTCTCTCTCTCTCTCTCTCTATATATATATGTATCAGAGGGAGGGGGCCGAACGGTCATTCACTGTCCCTGGGTTCGTGGCGGAAATGGGGATCCGTGGTGAGGATTCAATCTCTCTCTCTCTCTCTCTCTCTTTCTCTCTTTCTCTGTCTCTCTCTCTCTCTCTCTGTCTCTCTCTACATATACATTTACATTTACATTTACATATACATATACATATACATATGCATACATACATACATACATACATACATACATACATACATACGTGAATAGGTATGTATAGATATGTGTCTATCGTCATGGTGTGCCAGGGACTGAGGGGCGCTCAAGTTCTAGCTAGGCTTGATGGGCTAAATAATGAAATCTTATGTTTGTCGCTTCTTGCATCCAGGGGCTCTCTTGGAGGCCCTGCGCAAGCCTCAGAATCGTATAGGAGGGGAACTTTGGAAACGCGGAAATCATTGACTTTTCTTCGGTATTCAACGATTTAGGGCCCTCAAAGGCTTCCGGGTTTCTTCTCTGGGAGCTGAGGGGGGCCTTAATTGTGGTCTGTTGTGCAAGAGTGGACAGGGGGCGAATTTGAAAAAAACGGGAATGGTGGGCTTTCCATGTTTTTCAAGTTGCCGTGCCTGGGCTGTGGATTAGTCATTTTCTGGATACGAGCCACGGTCCGTTGGAATCCCTCTCGGAATCTTCGTGCAAAAATGAGCAGGCGGTGAGTTCGAAATACAAGGAATTAACATGTTTCAAGTCATGGGATCATGGGAACTCGATTTCTACAGTGGCTTCAGGGGCAGCCAAGAGGACACGAAGACGATCCAAGAGAGCGCAGAGACAGCGTCAGAGAGTTCAACCGCATTGCCTTTGCATGTGACCCCGAAGTCCTGATGAGGCTCGAGGAAGAGGACAGGGAGTAGGAGCCCTTTAAACAGAGGGAATCACTGGAATTCCCTTGAGCGTTGCAAGCGGGGAAACGTGAGAAGGCGAAACCTGTCGACAAAAACCGTTGGGAATCAACGATGCTAACCTTTGCGGGCTCTCTCGGGACGGCTGTCGAAGCTCTCTTGGGCTATTTTTTGGGGCCTCGTCGGAGCTTTTTGGGGGGCCTCTCAAGGGTCTAGGGTAACTATGTTGGAGGCCTCTGGGGGGTCCCGGAGTCCTCCCGGAAGTCTCTGGCGGCCTCCTGCTCCCGCTCTTGGACTCATCTTGGGCCTGTTCTGGGGTGGTCTGGAGCTGTCTGGGGCGCCTCTTCGGCAATCTTGTGCCCGTCTTGGCCCGTCTTGGGACACTTGGGGGCCTCTTGGGCGGTCTTGGGGCGGTCTTGGGGGCCTCTTCGGCCGTCTTGGAGCGCTGGAATCATGAAATGTTGAGAAGGCCAAAAACAATTAACAAACAATGGAAATTAACGATTTAGGTTCTCCAGGCGATCTCGGGAGGCATCTCGGAGCTCTCTTGAGGTCTTTTGGAGGCCTCCTCTCCTAGGAGCCTAGAGAGCCGCCCGAAAGCTATCCTGGGTTGCTTGGGAGCGTCTTGGGCCTTTCTTTTACGCTCTGGGGGCTTCTTGGGGTCGTCTTGGGCTGTCCTTGGGCGTTTTGGGGGCTCCCCGGGAAGTCATGAAGCGCGATAGAAGGCGAAACCTGTCGACAAAAACCGTTGGAAATCAACGATTTTATCCTTTGCGGGCTCTCTCGGGCTGTCGAAGCGCTCTCGGGCTGTTTTTTGGGAGCCTCGTCGGAGCTTTTTTGGGGGCCTCTCAAGGGTCTGGGGTGTGTTGGAGGCCCCTGGGGGGTGTCTCTGGCGGCCTCCTGCTCCCGCTCTTGGGCTCATCTTGGGCCTGTTCTGGGGTGGTCTGGTGCTGTCTGGGGCGCCTCTTCGGCAGTCTTGGGCCCGTCTTGGCCCGTCTTGGGACCGTTGGGGGCCTCTTGGGCGGTCTTGGGGCGGTCTTGGGGGCCTCGGTCCAAAAGGGCCCTGTGTCGCCGAAAGATCTCCAAGATGCTCGAGGTGGCCTCAAGGTGGCCCAAGAGGCCTCCAAAACGCCCCAAGAGGCCTCCAAGATGCCTCCCAAGAGGGCCCCCCCAAAGCAATCAGTGATTCTCCTTAGATGTTAGAAAAATGTTGGCGTTCTCGCCTTCTCGGCTTTCCGACGCTCCAAGACGGCCCAAGAGGCCCACAAGACCACCCCAAAACGGCCAAAGAGGTCTCCAAGAGGGCCCCAAGACGGCCTAAAAGCGCCTCGAGACGGCTCAAGAGGCGCCCAAGACGGCCGAAGAGGGCCCCACGACTGCCAACCAAAAAAGGGCCCAAGAGAAGGAGAACCGAAAATCCTAGCCCTCCACCCCAAGAGGCCCCCAGGAGGCCCCAAGAGGCGCTCAAGAAGCCCCCAAGAGGCCCCCAAGAGGCCCCCAAGAGGCCCCCAAGAGGCCCCCAAACAGCTGTTTAGAGGCCTCCAAACTGCCTCCAAGAGGCCTCCCACGAGATTCCAACAAACATCTAATAGGGTTCATACCCACAGCCCAGGCACGGTGGCAAGACGGACCGAAGGTCATTCTACATACGCATATGTGTGTATATATATGTGCACTACGTAGACACAACTATCCATGCACACATATATTTATATATATACACGTATGTATGTATGTATGTATGTATGTATGCATGCATGCATGTATGTATGTATGTATGTATGTATGTATGTATGTATGTATGTATGCATGTTTGCATGCATGCATGTATACATACGTATATACATGCATGCATGCATGTATGTACGTATGCATGTATGTATGTATGTATGTATGTATGTATGCATGCATGCATGCATGCATGTATGTATGTATGTATGTATGTATGTATGTATGCATGCATGCATGCATGCATGCATGCATGCATGCATGCATGCATGCATGTATGTATGTATGTATGTATGTATGTGTGTGTATGTATGTATAAATATACGTATGTGTATATATATAAAAATAGATATGTATATATATGGGTCGTGTTGGGAGTGCGCGTTGCCCTGTCTTCGGGCTGCCTTGAGGCCTTCTCGGGCTGTCCTTGGGACATCTCGGGAATCTCACCTCCGAGACCTTCATGGGCAGTCTTCGAAAGAGCAGGGGAGGGGCCAGGGAGGGGAGGGCACGAGGGCACCAGAGGGCACACGTTGGGCCATGCTGGGAGTGAGGACCTTGCCTGCCTCGGGGCAGTGCCGACGCTCTCCTGGGCCGTGTCGCGGGGGCACGCGGATGCGACGCTCTGCGGCCGCCGTTGGCCGTGCCGAAGACACGTTGGAGCTCTCTGGGGGTGTCGCGGTGGGCCGTGCCGCGACGCTCGGGACCCTGGCGCCGCGCTTAGGGAGCCCGCAAAAGACGTACGCGCCCAGCTATGCACATGAACACGGCCCCTCGATGCGCGAGACTGGCCGCGGTAGACGAACGTTTGCTCAATGCGTGCCCTCGAAACCAGCGTGGATTCATGTACGCGTACGTCCTTTTTTCGCTCCGGAGGCGTTGGGGGCCGGACCGTGCCGGCTCGGGGCCCCCGTGGGCTGGCCAGAGACGCCGTGCGAGACACCTCCGGCCCTGGTGCGGCGCCCGACGGGGGCAGCGTGGGACCCCCCGCGGGGGGGGGGCCGAGGACTGGGCGCACTCGGGGAGGGCGCCCGCACCCCTCCCGGGACTTCGCGGGCCGCGGAGCCGGGAACGCAGAGGCGGCCGAGCACTTTTCTGCTCCCGCCCGGGTTTTTGCCGGCTGTCGCCTCTCTGGATATCCTCGTCGGGGCTCTCATGGGGGCTCCCTTCCGCGCTTCGCAGGGAGAGACGGGGCGTCTTCGCCTGTCCCGTCTCGCCCGGCAGCGCAGAAGCCCACCCGTCGCGCAGATGCTCCGAACACTGCGTTCCTCGACCTGGGGGCCCATCCGCCACCGTGCCCACGATCGCCCGAAGACGGCCAAGGTGGCCTCAAGATGGCGCAAGCGGCTTCCAAGGCGCCCCAAGAGGCCTCCAATGAAGCCTCCCAAGAGGGCCCCCAAAGGCCAACATCAATGATTGTCCTTCGGTTTTTGAAGGATTTTGGCGTTCTCGCCTTTTCAGCTTTCCGACGCTCCAGGACGGCCCAAGGGGTCCCCAAGACCACCGCAAAACGGCCCAAGAGGCCTCCAACAGGGCCCCAAAAGGGCCCCCGAGAGGGACCACGAACCGAAAATCCACGCCTTCCGCCCCAAGAAGCCCCCAGGATGCCCCAAGAGGCCCCCAAGAGGCATCAGAACTGCCTCCAATAGTTAGGCCCTACAGAGGCCTCCCACGAGAATTCAACGAACCAGGCACGGTGGCGGGACTTGCCGTAGGCAGCTAGATCCGCCGCCCCCTTTTGATTTATCAAAGGGGTGCCTGGCGTGCCGAATCCTATCGGTTTTGCTTTTGGCTCTTTTTCCGAAAGAACTCCCCCTGGGGCTCTGGCGCGTCTCGCCGGCCACCCGGAAGACCCGGTTGCAAACGGTTGTCCTGCCCCAGACGGCCC